ATTTTCATGCACTTTGAATTTGCATTGTATCGTATTTTGAAGGCATTAAACATTACCATAGCGATCAGAGTGTTGCGGCCAGATTAGACGCTCCGTGTGGTTATTATTATATTTCGAAAACACCACAGTGTTCATTCAGCTCATACCATATTATTTTGTTGTATTATTTCCGCCACACCTTAAATGCCGGTCCCTGAAAATATTGTCTGACATAAACCGGTCCGTGGGGCAAAAAAGGTTGGGGACCCCTGGTTTAAAGCAGTTTGAGATGAAAGAGGAGCGAATCAACGTCATGCTCAGAATGTGCACAAGTCGGCTACAAGCGACGTTTCAAAGTCAACAAGCTGTCGCGTCCATTTACGAAAAAAAAAAGACATTGGTTCACTTCTCCTGTCCCGTGAAAATCCAGGCAGGAGTACCTCAGTCTTAAGTGCTTAGGTCTCATTTGCGCTACGCGCCGACGTCCTCTCTCCTCAAAATGACTGACTAAGCATGAAAAAAACTGCACTAAAAAAATCTGTGAAATAGCGAAGCCACGGGAGGTGAACCACGTTATAGCGAGGGATTACTGTACTCGGAAGGAGTATGGGAGTGTCCCTTGGTAAGTGAATACACTCATTTGCATGCATTGAATATTGGTCAAATTGCAAGTGTGAAACATATCCCGACTCTTCTAGTTTTCTGGTGGAGGCATGCATAAGGCTGCTGGAGCATGTCGACACAAAGGGCCTGTTCAGAATTACTGGCTCTTTTGCCCACCTGAAAACACTGCAGGTGCGTGATTGGTTGACTGTGCTCTCACTGAACATTGCTGACCCCATGAAAGGTCTTTCAGACATTCAGTTTTGTTGTGTATGTCCAGAAAAAATAAGATTCTGATGAGGAGTGCCTGTCCGCCTGTCTTCCTCGTGCCTGGTGAAGCAATTCTTCAGGTAGTTGCCAGAACCTGCGCTACCCACCGAGATGCAGGAGGCCTTCCTCAAGGCACAGCATCTCCCCACCAAGAAGGGCCGCACCTGCGCCACCATGCTGCTCTCTTGCGTCCTTCCCGGCAAAAACCAGAGTGTCATGCGTCACTTCGCTGAGTTCCTGCAAAAAGTGTCCAAGATGTGCTCACATTTTTATGATTCTGATTCAGTTAGGACTTTTTCTTTCAGTGTGCTTATCTTCGCGATCTGGGTTTGATTCTAGGAGTGCAAAGAATAAGATGGACCGCAGTAACTTGTCGTTAAATCTTGGCTCCCACCCTCCTCCAGTCTGGCGGAGTTACAAAAAAGATGAACAGCAAAACAGAGAAACGCCTCCAACTGGAGAGGGATGTCCTTCACTCCTTCATCGAGAATGCCCATAACATTGGTAACAATGCACATCACTCAGCTGCTAGTCTTCACAGCCTCAGTCGTGTTGAGATCTAATTTCTTTGCTTTTGCTGCATGTTACAGGAAAGCTGCCACAAATGCTTGAAGAGAAGCGTTCCGCCACGATGGACTGTGAGCCAGCAGTGGCCAGTTTCAT